AAGGGAGGGGGGAGGAAAGCAAGATAGGGGAGGTGGCAAGCAAGAGAGGGGGGGTCGACAGCAAGGATGAGAGGGAGGACAGCACGAAACGCGGGAGGAAAGCGGGAGGAAAGCGCGCCGCACCTGCTCCACGTACGGGTAAAAGCCCTCCCGCAGCTCGTCGGCGTAGCAGCAGATCATGTTGCAGGCTGCGGGGCAGAGGGGTGGGGGTGGTGGGGAGCAAAGGCATGGGGCAGCTGGGGGCAGCGCAGTCAAACTGTAAACGCACACAGCAGTAGGGAGGGAGCTGCGCGGCGGAGGCAGCCGGCAGCCGCGATGCACGGGGCAACTTCACAAGCCGAGCAGGCAGCCTCGGGGCAGCGAATCGAGGACAGGGAAGCGGGAGAAGAAGGCACCCACCCGTGGCCTTCTCCTCGAGCACGCTCGTGTGCAGCGACACGCGCTTGCCGCTCACGATGAAGGTCTCGGTCTGCGGTACAAGGGCGGTACACGGCGGTTCAGTACAGCGCGGCACAACACGCGTGGGCGGCGGGACAGCCGGCCCGGCGGAGGCAGACGCATGGCCGGCTGCAGGCTGCTATCCTCCTAGGCTGGGCACCAGTGCAGCTCAAACTCATCCCCTGGAAACCGCCACGGCACAGCAGCGGGCCATGCTCACATCCTCGTCCCCCTCCTCCTCGCCCCCGCCATCCTCGTCCGCCGCGTCGCTGACGATGACGTCCGGCTTGAGCTGGGCGGCGGCCAGCAGGGGGGGCATGACCAGCTGCGAAGCGGTGGGGCAAGGAGGGGCAAGGAGGGGTTCGTGCAAGGAGGGGTTCATACAGCGGTGGGTGGCGCCGAGTGTGGCACGCGGCAGGGAAGGATGTCTGTGCACGCCCCCACCACCCCCGGCTCTCTGCCCCTGCACCCGGTGCCGCAGCCGAATTGCCGCCCCCCACCAGCGCACCCACACCACACACACACACACCACCCCCGTAAACTTCCAGTACCGCCTCACCTGCAGGTATGGCAGGAAGTCCTGGCCCAGGGTCTTGCAGATGCGGGCGCCCGCCTGCAGGGGTACGGGGCGGTACCAGGACAGTCAGGCAGTACCAGGCGGCGGGGGAGTTGAAGGAGGGCGGCACAAGGCCGTGACGCAGGCAGTACAAGCAGGCAGCGGCCCAAGGCAGGCTGCCTGCCTGCACCAGCGGCACCGCACGGCAGAAGCCAGCCGTCGCCGGCAGCAGCTGCGGCGCCGGCTGCACATGCACCGCATGCAGGGCATTTGTGCGATACCACAAGGCACACGGCGGTACCTGCAGCATGTAGGAGGAGAGCGGGTCGTCGCTGTCCAGCCCCGCCGCCTGCACCTGCTGCATGTACTGCATGACGCCCTTGGCGTCGTTCCTGCGGTACGATCGGCCGGTACAGCCATGAGGCACAGTTCCGGCGGGCATGCCAGCGCATGCGTGTGCACAAACACAGGGTTGAGCAGGTGCCCACCACGCCAGACGCTGCCCTCAAATGGTGCACCAAAGAACCCCAGGCAAGCCACCAAACTGCTCGACGCAGGCCGCCAGCTCGCCGCCAGCTCAGCATCTGCACAGCACCAGAGCCAACCCCGCCACACTCACCCAAACCGCTCCTTGCCCACCGCCAGCCCCACCAGGCTCACACACTCCAGCGCTTTTGCCCGCAGCAGCTGCTGCTCCTTGCCTGCGTGTGAGGGTGGGGTGAGAAGAAATGAGTGGGGGAGCGGTGTTGCAGGCGGGTGGTGGTGGGTGGTGATGGGTGGTGATGCGGACGCGGGGAGGCGTGGAGGCGGCGGCACCGGTCATTTGGCGGCAAGCCTTATGGCTTAGGTGCATGCCATGCGGGCCCGCAGCTCCGGCAGCTGCGTTTTGTGTATCCGACGCGGCAGCCCGGGGTCTGGCCGGCCGCCGCACACCGCGTGTCCAGCCAAGCAGTACAACCAGCCCGCAGCCAGCGGTACCGCACAAGGGGCAGGGCACCCACCGGAGGCGTGCGTGAGGATGCTGGTCATGAGGGGCATGCAGGTCTCGTAGTACTTGATGAAGTATTCCTGCGGTACCAGGGTGGTACAGCATGTGAGGCACATCATGGGATTAAAACAGTGGGGTGCAAGCGCAAAAGCAGGGCAGCTGAGCTGGAGCTGAAGGGACGTGGCCGCGGGCAGCACCTACAAAAACACCGGCAAGGACATCAGGCAAGCAGCCCCGGCACCCACACAACAGACAACCAGCAGCCCCAGCACCCACCTCCGCCGTGTCTGCTACCGCCGCCAACGCCGTCAGCGCGCCCTCCTGCACGTTGCGCCGCCCGCGCTGCAGCAGCGGAAAAAGGTGGCGGCGGCATGCGCCCGCGCGCCTGCGTTCAGCAACGGCCGGCGGCAGCGGCTCGCAGCGGGCGGCCCGCAGCGGCACACACAAGCAGGCACGGCAAGGGGAGGCTGGCTGGGAGGGCGAGCAGGCGAGCGGGCGCGGCGGCGGCCGGCCCGCAGCTAACGCAAGGCCTGCGGCAGCAAAGCGGCACCCACCCACCTGCAGCAGCGCCAGCAGCTTCGAGATGAGGGCATCCAGGTAGGGAGCGATGGTGTCCTGGTCAGACGACTCTGTAGGGGAGGAAAGCAAGCGGGTTCCGGGAGGAAAGCGGGAGCCGGGTGTCGGTAAGCAGGCAGGGGCGGAGCAGCGCGGCAGGGCCGGCAGAGGAGGCGCCGCCCAGCCAGCCAGCCAGCGTCAAGCCAGCCTCCGCCCGGAGACAGCCCCAGCCACCAGCTGGCCAGCTCAGCACAGGCCTGCACCCTCACGCTGCCTCATTCTTTCCCACCGCCCACCCACACAGGCCCACCCAGCCGCCCATCCCGGTCGACCTAGGGCGGTGAGCCCAGGTCGGTCAAACACAGCGCGGTCAACCGCTCTGGTCAATCCAGGCCGGTCAAACCCACCCGCAAAGTTGACCACGGCGGCGCAGGCGTGCGCCTGCACCCGCGGGTTGGCAAAGTCGTCCATGAGCGACATGACGGCGGGCAGGATCTTGGCGTGCTGCTCCTCCTGCAGAGGGAAGCCAGGGGGGGAAGGGAGGGGAGGGAGGGAGGGAGGGAGGGAGGGAGGGAACAGCCTGTGTTACCTCCCTCAACCAGCCTGTGTTCTTCAAGCCCAGGCGGGCTGGGCGCGCGTATGGCTGGGCGGACTGGGCAGGCTGGCGGGCAGGAGGCAGGCGGGCAGGAGGGCCTGCCCGTCTGGCGTCACAGCCATGCGCGGCCGCCCCCCCGGCCGCCGTGCTTTCTTTTCTGGCTGCCTTTCTGCCTTCCCGCCTGCCCGCGCTTGCCTGCAGGTCGGGCCCCAGGTCGGTGCACAGCTGGCCCAGCGCCTGGCAGGATGCCCAGCGGACCTTGGGGTGCGCGTCAGACACGCCCTGCAGCAGGGATTTAGGGTGGTGACCAGGGAGGGGGCCGGGGCCGGGGGCGTCGCCAGGCGAGCAGGCGTGGGCGTCGGCGGGGCGGCAGCTGCCTGGCATTGCCATGAGAACGACAACCAAAAACGACCCCCGTCCAAGCCAAGAACATGACAGATTGGTATTGGTACCAGGCTGGGGCCTCCAGAGGAAGCAGGCGGGCAGGCAGGCGGGTGCAGGAAGCCAGGGGGGAGGTGCATGCTGGCGGCGGTGCCCCCGGGGCACGGAGGCGCAGCACAGGTGAAGGCGCGTGCCCGGCGGCGCGGCGCGGCCTTTTGTACTGCACAACATGCACAGCAAGCACTGCAGCCTGTACTTCAGCATGTACCGCGGCCCAGCATGCCAGCATGTACCGCAGCACCCACCTGGAGGCACAGGCCGGTGAGGGCGTCGGTCTGCTTGACAAACACCTTGCAGCAGCCCTCGGCGATCTGCGTGTGTGTGTGTGTGTGGGGGGGGGGGGGGGTACCGGGCTTTGATATTGTTTCAAGTATTTCCCTTCAACATCTTCAGATCTTTCTCCCTTGCACTTGTTGAATAACTCCTTTGTTACATCTATTTTTAGAGATCTATTTTTAGATCAGAGGAGTTCTGTCCTGCTCTGTGGGGCAGAAGCAGGAGTTTCAAAACCCGTGTTGGGTACCGCCGACGCTGACGTGGCGGCAGTCTGGTTCTTTGGACGCAAAGGCTGGCTCGCCCGACATCTTGCCACCGTGCCAAGCATGTGCTACCAGATAGGCGGCCCGCCTCGCGGCGGGGTTCG